TTTGAGAAGGAGTCTCGCTCTGTTGCCCAGGCTGGAGTGCAGTGACACGATCTTGGCTCAATGCAATCTCCGCCTCCCAGGTTCACGTGATTCTCATGCCTCAGCCTCCTGAGTAGCTGGGATTACAGGAGCAGTGCGCCACAATTTTTTTATTGTGGTAAAATATACAGAACATAATATTTATTATTTAACCATATTTAAGAATACAGTTCAGTGGCTTCAGTACACTCATGTTGTGCAGCCATCACCACCATCCATCTCCAGGACTTTTTCATTTTCCCCAGCTAAAACTCTGCACCCATTAAACACTACCCACCAACTCCCTCCTCTCCCCAACCACTGGCAACCACCATTCTACTTTCTGAATCTGTGATTTTGACTACTACAGGTACCTTACATAAGTGAAATCATACTTTTGTCCTCTTGTGACTGCCTTGTTTTATTTAGCATAATGTCCTCAAGGGTCATCCATGTTGTAGCACGTCAGAACATCCTTCCTTTTTAAAAATTTATTTATTTTGAGACAGAGTCGCACTCCGTCACTCAGGCTGGAGTGTAGTGCCAGGATCATGGCTCACTGCAGCCTCAACCTCTGGGGCTCAACTGATTCTCCCACCTCAGCCTCCCAGGTAGCTGGGACTACAGGCATGCACCACCACACCCAGCTAATTTTTATAATTTTTTGTACAGAAGGGGGTCTCACTGTGTTGCTTAGACTGGTTTCAAGTGATCCTCCCACCTTGGCCTCCCAAAGTGCTGGGATTAGGTGTGAGTCATAGTGTGCCGCCTCTAGAGCACTAACTTTAAAAAGCTTACAATTACAAATCCTTCTTCTGTCCCTCTGAGATATATACCTATGTATTTCCTACATCCTAGGAATGTCTTTCTCAAGGACCTGAAATCCATTCCTTTGAAATGTAATCATCAGAAAGGTAGGGCTCATGTCTCCCAGTCTATGTGGGAGAATAGAATCCTGACTTCCCTGATTGCCAGCTAGCAGACACAGTTGGCCTAATCACATTTACGCTAACCAATCCTTTTAATTTTTCACTTCCCAGACTCTAAGTGAGCCCCTGCTTGCTCCCCTGCCTACTCCCTTATTCTTCCTTTGAAATGCCCAATCACCTCTGCACAAATAGAATGGAGTTCAGCTCTTTCCCCTACCGCCAGTAGTTACTGAATAAAATCTATTTTCACCGTTTTAATGCTTGGCTTTGTTTACGTCTCGCTCTGTCGCCCAGGCTGGAGTGCAGTGGCGTGATCTCGGCTCACTGCAAGCTCCGCCTCCTGGGTTCACGCCATTCTCCCGCCTCAGCCTTCTGAGTAGCTGGGACTACAGGTGTGCAGCACCACGCCCGGCTAATTTTTTGTATTTTTAGTAGAGATGGGGTTTCACTGTGTTAACTAGGATGGTCTTGATCTCCTGACCTCGTGATCCGCCTACCTTGACCTCCCAAAGTGCTGGGATTACAGGCATGAGCCACCACGCCCGGCCTGTTTATCTTTAATAATATCATTAACTAGAGTTCAATCTTTATTTATGGTTCTTTTTGTTTGGTTTTCTAGTGAAGATGAAATTTGCTTTGAGGGAAAATGTGCAAATATTAAATTTAGCATTAGATAATTTTGACAAATCCATACACCCAAATCTCCTATCAAGAAATAGATCAAGGATGAGGAGAAATTTGAACCCTTGTGGATTGCTGATGGGAATGTAAAACGGTTCAGTTTGCTGTGGAAAATGGTGTGGTGGTTTCTCAGTACATTAAACTAGAATTAGCATATGATCCAGCAATTTCACTTCTGAGTGTATACCCAAATGAATTAAAAAGAAAGCAGGGATTCAAACAGATATTAGTACACCCATGTTTATAGCAGAATTATTCACAATAGTTAAAAGATGGAAGCTATCCGTGTCCATGACTGCATGAATGGATAAACAAATTGTGGTGTATATATATACAATGGAATATTATTTGGCCATAAAAAGGAAAGACGCCAGGCACAATGGCACACATATCGGCATTTTGGGAGGCCATTGTGGGCGAACTGCTTGAGCCCGGGAGTTCAAGACCAGTCTGGGGAACTTAGTGAGACCCTGTCTCTGAAAAAAATAAAATAGAATTAGCCAGGCATGGAGGTGTGTGCCTGTAGTTGGGAGGATGGCTTGAGCCCAGGAAGTCTAAGCAGCAGTGAGCACCATTGCACCACTGCACTCCAACCTGGGTGACAGGGTCAGACGCTGTCTCAAAAAAAAAAAAAAAAAAAGCGGTCTAGAAAAGGGAGGCATTGGCTGGAACAAATGGTGAATTCTTTTGGCACCCCTGAGCTTTCTTGGGCGGACATTTTAAAGGGGCCTAGGTCCACCTAGAGATCCGCCCTTAGGCTATTAACTTAGCATAACGCCATGCTAGAGTTTAGTCAGGTCTCTTAGTGCGGTGGTTAGGGCAGTCGTTAACTGCTGAGGAGTCTTTGTAGTTCTCAATCAGCAGGCGAAAGTTTTTAGGGATGAAAGGTACTGACATCTCCAATTTACTTTGAATGTATCAAAAAATAGGATGGATTGCTGGATGCAGAGACGGCATGTGATAAAGCGGATACAGCAAATGTTACTGGTACAGTCTGTCACCAATCATTAGAACATGAGCTCCAGGAGGGCAGGGGCTTTGTCGGCCTGGCACATAGGCAGTCAATAAATATTCGTAGAATGAACGAACAATACTTGTAACGGGCTTAGGACAAACAAGTGCACAATAAGAGGAAGCTTTCCCTGACTCTGCCGTGGCGGGGACCCGGACGGTGGAACCGACTAACAGATAGCACGCGGGGCCTGGAGAAGTCGCTCTGGCCTCCTGGAGCCTCTGCTCTATGGTGGGTCCTCCCGGGGCTGCGAAACCTCTCTGGCCGCTCGTGGCGTCCGCTCTATGGCGGTCCTTTGGGGACGCAGGAGCATGCGCAGGACTGCTCCCGGCCCGGATCGCTATGGCAGCGGCGTCGTCGTGGGCTGGGACCCTGCGATCCCGCCCGGGCCTGGCTGCCTCAACAGCCGCCCCCACTGCACACTTTAGGGCATGAACCGAGCCTCCTGCTGCCGCCCGCTGCCCTACCCGCCGCTGCCGCCGCATCCCGACTCTGGGCCAGCGCTGGGAACATGCCCCTGGCCGCCTACTGCTACCTGCGGGTCGTGGGCAAGGGGAGCTACGGAGAGGTGACGCTTGTGAAGCACCGGCGGGACGGCAAGCAGGTCTGCAGGGGTGAGGCCCGGCAAGGGCCGGGGGCGGGCAGAGGTGCGCCGAGGGCGCCTACCGGTAGATTAGATCGGGAGTGGTCGCAAGGGGCTCATCTCGGATGGCATTTCCTCAGGGAGATGGTCCCAGACCAAGATGAGGCCAGGCCTCCCTGTAATATGCGCCCAGAACTTCCTCTACTTCTTTGTTGTATTAATTTTTTTCCTTTTAATTTTCATTTTCTTTAATTACGATTCTTCGTTTTATGAAAAATTTTCAGTCTCTGCATATCTATTTCTTTGTTGTATTAATTGACATGCTTGATCTACACACCTTTCTCCCACCCCCGACAATCTCATGAGAGCAGGTATCATGCATTCCCAGGACTTAACACAGCGCCTAGCAAGCATTATTCCTTGCATAATGGGCCTCAAACGTCTCTACTGTAGACTGCTGGACTCAACTTAAAACTCGGACTCATTTTCTTCCCGCTAAACCTTATTTCATGTCTTCCGTTTCAGTGAATAGCGACACCAACCCACCAGTTGCCCAAGTCGGATACCTGAAGTCATTTTTAAGCCTCCCCACGCACCCCAACACTGATTATATTTATCTATCACTAAGACAGTAGGCCTCTTCTCATCTCTATTGGTACCACCCTAATCCAGGACACCTTGTTTTCTCTAGCTAGGCTATGGCCACAGTTTCCCAACTGGTCGCTGCTACTTGACTTGCTTTTCTCCAATCCATCACTTTCATTGCAGCCTTAGTGATCCTTCTAAAATTTAAATCTGATGTCACTCCTCCTTTCTTTAAAACACTTTATCCCATTACCCTCAGGATAATGAACCAGTTCTTCAATGTGGTATATTAATAGGGTGACAATATAATGTATTGTACAAACTGGGACAATTTTGAAACTGAAAGGAGGCACTATCAATAGTTACACCAGGACAATAGGACTGCTCCAGCCAAGCTGAGAGGAGATGTCCCCGTTAAATATAGGGCCCAACTGCCTGTTCTCCTTGTCACTGGTGCTAGTTGCTTTGCCTGGAACACAAGCTCATGCATAAGAGATTTATTCAGTAGGCATTGGGGGAATCATTGGATTTTGGGGCTGATAATAGGGAACTAGCAATAGCTAGTTATTTGAGCTTTAGTTTACACTTCACAAAACACATTTATGTATGTGTTGAAGAAATGAATTGTATAGTCTTTGAAATGATTGAGGGCAATGTATTAGGTGTTAGAGGCTATCGATTTCTTTTAAGTGAATAATTTTCTATGCTGAAGATCAGTGACTATTAAACTTATGGGGCCATGGATCCCTTTGAGTATCTGATGTAATCCATGGACTATTCTGTCTGCAAATGTATATTCAGGCCATATTTTATGCACCTTTTTGGGAGAGTTTAGATGTTAAGAAATTTCTTTTTTTTTTTTTTTTTTTAATTTTTTTTGAGACAGAGTCTTGCACTGCCTCCCAGGCTGGAGTGCAGTGGTGCGATCTTAGCTCACTGCTGCAATTTCTGCATCCCACGTTCAAGCGATTCTCCTGTGTCAGCCTTCCGAGTTGCTGAGACTACAGGTACACACCACCACGCCGGGCTAATTCTTGTATTTTTAGTAGAGACGGGTTTCACCGTGTTGACCAGGCTGGTCTTGAACTCCTGACCTCAGGTGATCCACCCACCTTGCCCTCCCAAAGTGCTGGAATTACAGTCGTGAGCCACTGTGTACGACCAGACATTAAGAAATTGCTAACACAGGTTTTATAATTGATCCAATAGTATGTTATCTTGAACTCACTTTTTTTAGTCATTAATGAAATTGTGAAATGCAGATGGAAAGGTAATATTTTTGTGGCCTTACAGTGCTATAAATCTAACTTATAAGAAGTATCATTAATAATAGCAAATATTTTCCCCGATTTTGTACTTGGTGAAAAACAAAATGAATAGGTTATCTGACAGGCTCTACAAGGTTGGTTTTGAGGATATTCTTGAGAGCCCTTAGATAACTCTGAGGCCACAAATCTTGTGTTTATTTGCACGTTGTAAAAATACATGTTTTGTTTTTAGTATGTCATCAAAAAACTGAACCTCCAAAATGCCTCTAGCCGAGAGCGGCGAGCTGCTGAACAGGAAGCCCAGCTCTTGTCTCAGTTGAAGCATCCCAACATTGTCACCTACAAGGAGTCATGGGAAGGAGGAGATGGTCTGCTCTACATCGTCATGGGCTTCTGTGAAGGAGGTGATCTGTACCGAAAGCTTAAGGAGCAGAAAGGGCAGCTTCTGCCTGAGAATCAGGTGGTAGAGTGGTTTGTACAGATCGCCATGGCTTTGCAGGTACTGTGTAGACTAATAGCATCCTAGCTTGTTCCCAGATGACAAGAAGATGGCAGGTGTATTTTAGGAAAATTTTTCTTCAGATACTTACATATGGAAATGTATTTTTTGGAAAATTCATTTGTAAAGTTGACCCAGTCACTCTTGCTGTAGCATTGGAACTTTTCTAAGCAACTGATACCTATATTAAAATAGACCTAGATTTCATATCTAATTGCAGGGGAAGCCCACTCATTTAATATTTATAGCAAAGTCAATTTTAAGGACCCTGAGGCAACCAAGAGCAAAGAGTGACTATGTTTGTTATCCATTGGTCAGTTGTGTCATGCTGAAAGGTAGCTAGGCTAATTGATATGCCCAAGTGATTTCATCTGTCACCCTGCTGGGGTACAGTAGATGGAAATGCAAAATAAGTTTTCTTTTTTTTTATTTTTTAGAATTGGGCAGCACTTCATTCTATAAGATGGAATAAGTGTTCCTACAAGTTTGTGTTTTAATATGCATGTAACTCAAAAGCAAGACTGTTTATGAAATATTATTTTGGAACTGGGTAGACTTGTCCAGAATTAATTGACCATGTTTAAATTCTGAGATACTTCCTCTAAATAAAAATGCTTTTGCTATACTTGAAAATATTATTAAGCTGAGGATTTCATGTGTCTGACTTTGTATAAGTTGCCTACCTTCAGTGGGAGTTTGTAAGCATTTTTTTTTTGAGACAGAGTGTCACTGTCGCCCAGATTCAAGTGCAATGACTCAATCATGGCTTGTTCCAACCTCCCGCTCCTGGGTTCAAGATTCTCATGCTTCAGCCTCCCAAGTAGCTGGGATTATAGGCATGTGTCACCATGCCCAGCTAATTTTTGTATTTCTTTAGTAGAGATGGGGTTTTGCCATGTTGGCCAGGCTGGTCTTGAACTCCTGGCCTCAAGTGATCCGCCCACCTCAGCCTCCCAAACTGCTGAACAATGCGCCTGGCCTGTAAACATATTGTTAAACTGGATTCATGTAGTCCCAAAATGTATTAATTGTCAAGCTACCAGAGAACAGTTTTGATGTGTACTGGGTAAGTCAATGCATGGAACTTAATTTTCTCGTTTGAAATATTGTAAATTAGACCTTTTATTTAGAGATTATAAAGCAATGATGTTTGGTAGGTATTTGTTTGTTGAATAAGGAATTGTATGGTTGGTTACTCTTTATGGTCAAAGACTGTAACTCATGCCATTGCTGATGGTATATAATAGGCCAGGAATAAATACATAATTGAGTCTATTTATATGTAATAAAATCTTGTTTCTTTCCTCAGTATTTACATGAAAAACACATCCTTCATCGAGATCTGAAAACTCAAAATGTCTTCCTAACAAGAACAAACATCATCAAAGTGGGGGACCTAGGAATTGCCCGAGTGTTAGAGAACCACTGTGACATGGCTAGCACACTCATTGGCACACCCTACTACATGAGCCCTGAATTGTTCTCAAACAAACCCTACAACTATAAGGTAGAATTGGGCTCTGTATGCTGGCTTACCTAGTACTCGTAATTTCAGAAGTTAGTTAAGTCAGATAATTATGAATTGGTTTAAGGAAAATGTTTTCTTTTTTTAAAGGGGAAAAAATGTAAATAAGCTATTCTGACATTTAACCATTTACTGTTTTTATTTTCTAGTCTGATGTTTGGGCTCTAGGATGCTGTGTCTATGAAATGGCTACCCTGAAGCATGCTTTCAATGCAAAAGATATGAATTCTTTAGTTTATCGGATTATTGAAGGAAAGGTAAAGAATAATCTAGAACTAATTGACCAGTATTTCTATAGTGCAGCTTTATAAATAGCTACTAGCAAAATCATTGATGATTTTGATGAGTCAGTGAGTAATTATTGATATTGGGTTGATAGTTAACAATGGTGGGTCCCCTCTGTGGGGAAGGTCAGACTAGAGGGAAAGGGATTGATGGATCATTTCTTAATATTAATCTGTAAGATGGCTTAATGGCTGAAAAGAATTGGCTTTTTGAAAACCTATGCCTATAGTCATAGGATGTGCAGATGCCCTGAGAGGCTATTTATCTCTTCTTCTAAGCAGCCTATGATTGAATGAGCTACATTTAAAATGAGTTTACTCTGTTTGAACTTGTTGTTCCTTTGATAATCATCACAATAATCAATAACTAGTTAAGAACCACAGAAAGCATTGTGTCTGATATAGACTCCAGAGTGACCGACTTTGTATGTTCCATGAGGCTAGTTGCCTTTATAGTGTCAGGCATCCGTGTACTGTTAAGGGATTTTTTTTTTTTTTTTTGAGATGGAGTTTTGCTCTTGTCTCCTAGGCTGGAGTGCAATGGCATGATCTCAGCTCACAGCAACCTCTACCTCCTGGGTTCAAGTGATTCTCGTGCCTTAGCTTACCAAGTAGCTGGGATTACAGGCACGTGTCACCATGCCCAGCTAATTTTTATATTTTTAGTACAGATGGTGTTTTACCATGTTGGCCAGGCTGGTCTCGAACCTCAGGTGACGTGCCCGCCTCAGCCTCCCAAAATGCTGAGATTGCAGGTGTGAGCCACCGCGCCTGGCCAATGTACTGTTAAGTTTTAAAGGCCATGAATCACCTATTGATTTTAATACTATCCCACAACTCATTTAATTTTTCAATTTGAAACATATTGAAAAACATACACAAAAGTAAAATTTTCCCATAATGCCACTACTTAAGAATCAAACAAGAAGGGAGTGAAATTCTCTTCTCCTTCTATTCCCATTCCCTGGAAGATGACCATTGCTGGCAATTTGGTACATGGCCTTTCTGTTTTTTTCCTGCCTTTATACAGACATAACTCTGTGTGTGTGTGTGCATGTGTACACGTACACCCACAGATTCTTAAACTGAAATGGAATCAGGCTGTTTGCATGGTACATAACTTGTTTTTTTGACTTAATACATGAGGGACATCTTTCCAAGTTGGTACCTACAAGTCTTGGTTTTTTGTTTTTTTGTTTTTTTTTAGATGGAGTCTCACTCTGTCACCCAGGCTGGAGTGCAGTGGCGCAATCTTGGCTCACTGCAAGCTCTGCCTCCTGGGTTCACACCATTCTCCTGCCTCAGCCTCCCAAGTAGCTGGGACTACAGGTGCCCGCCACCACGCCCAGCTAATTTTTTGTATTTTTAGTAGAGACAGAGTTTCACTGTGTTAGCCAGGATGGTCTCGATCTCCTGACCTCATGATCCACCCGCCTGGCCTCCCAAAGTGCTGGGATTACAGGCATGAGCCACTGTGACTGGCTTCTTCTTCTTTATAAGAAGAATGTATGATAATTTATTCCACAGATCCACTATGGGACATTTATGTTTCCAGTTGTTTACTACTGCAAGAACAGTACTGCATTGAACATCCTGGTACATAAGTCTTTAGGAAACTCATACTCTTATTTCTGAGAGAGTGTCATCAGATGGGACTGCTGGGTTGAAGGATATACTTTTATAATTTTACAACTTGTTATCTTACAACTGGGATACCAGTACACTTCCTGTAGACTAACATACTGATTGTTTTCTGCTTATGTGGATATATGACTATAAATAAATATTGGGAAACCTCTATCAGCTTTTACTTTGTTTCACAAGACCATTAGTCATAATTACAGTATTATTTTTCTTTGTAGCTGCCACCAATGCCAAGGGATTACAGCCCAGAGTTGGCAGAACTGATAAGAACAATGCTGAGTAAAAGGCCTGAAGAAAGGCCGTCTGTGAGGAGCATCCTGAGGCAGCCTTATATAAAGCGGCAAATCTCCTTCTTTTTGGAGGCCACAAAGATGTAAGCTACTTCCCTTGCAAATTGCTGGGCTAAATAGATGGGGTAAAAGAGGGTGGCTTCTATAATATTCATATGCAAGAATTAATGGTGGGTTCTTTTTTAAAAAACAAGAAATAAAATGGCCTGATTACATATGTAGAGGAGGCAAGATTCTACCCTCTTAGGGTTTTTTGGCTGAGTTTGAGAATTAAACTTACAATTTAACAGGAGAAAAGTATATAGATTTATTTAATACCTGAATAAGTTTTATGTGACACAGGAGCCCTCATAAGGAAATGAAGACCCAAAGAAGTGGCAAAACCTAAATGCTTTTGTGCTTGATTCAACAAAGAGAGGGAATTGTGGAAAAGTAAACTATGTGGAGAGGAAGATAAGAATTATTTTAATAAGGTCTGTTTATAGAATTCTCTCAGTTCAGCTTTCCATTCTTAATAATAAGAATGTTACTTTCCTTCTGATACAGGGAGGACATATTTCATATGGGAGTTTTATCTTCTGCTTTCTGGAAGAAAAAGGGAAGGTCAGAGTATCCTTCTTGCACCTACTTTTTTTTTTTTTTGAGATGGAGTCTTGCTGTGTCACCCAGGCTGGAGTGCAGTGGCATGATCTCAGCTCACTGCAACCTCCGCCTCTCGGGTTCAAGCAATTCTCCTGCATCAGCCTCCCCAGTAGCTAGGATTATAGGTGCCCGCCACTGTGCCCGGCTAATTTTTGTATTTTTAGTAGATACAGGGTTTCACCATGTTGGCCAGGCTGGTCTTGAACTCCTGACCTCGTGATCCGCCCGCCTCAGCCTCCCAAAGCTTACACTTACTTTTTAAAGAACCTTAGCCCAAAATGATCTTTATGCCAAAGTAGCACTTTTGGCATGGCATTTTCTCCCAGTCTTCAAATACATGTTGAAATTTGCTTAATTGCTAAAATCAGAAATTTGGAGAACCACTGTCATATTCCTCAGAGGGTTCTAAGACATATAGTGTAAATTGTTTTTAAAAGGACACATGCACGACTCTGGGTTCACTGCCTATGAGTTAGCCCTGTTCTCAAGGAGCAGCCAAATAATAAAAGAGGGCATATGTTTTAGAAATCATATTATAATTAGAGATTATCTAAGAAACCTATATGTCTTACTATGTAATATGGTAATATTTAAAAAGTAGTGCTCACATTTCTGAGAGCTTGCATAAAGTTCCCTCTTCATTCATATAACTTCCCGAGAGAATTCCTTGCTTTGACTTGCAGGTCCTGCCTTTACTAAACAGGTGTTCCAGGATCTAAGACTTAGGGCTGGGCAAAACTATTACAATCTGTTTGGCTTCTCCTCTTGCCTTGTGGCATGTTAAATTTGGAAAGAGAGGTGGCAATGCTACAGATTCCTGAGGGAATAAAGAATAACCATCTTGGCCGGGCGAGGTGGCTCATGCCTGTAATCCCAGCACTTTGGGAGGCCGAGACGGGTGGATCACGAGGTCAGGAGATCGAGACCATCCTGGCTAACACGGTGAAACCCCGTCTCTACTAAAAATACAAAAAATTAGCCGGGCGCAGTGGCGGGCGCCTGTAGTCCCAACTACTCGGGAGGCTGAGGCAGGAGAATGGCGTGAACCCGGGAGGCGGAGCTTGCAGTGAGCTGAGATCTGGCCACTGCACTCCAGCCTGGGCGACAGAGCGAGACTTTGTCTCAAAAAAAAAAAAAAAAAATTAAAGAATAACCATCTTTTTGTGTACATTGTCTATATAATTTCCCACCAAGCAGAACTTTGGCCTTCCAGTGCACTGATCTCCATGCTTGTCTTGAATTCTCCAGAGGTTTAGCCCAGTTTTAGAACTGACATGCTAAAATAGTTGGGGATATTATTCCTGTATACATTTATTAAAGTCAGCATTAAGTATACCAATCAGTTTTACTCTCAAAGTTAGCCAAGCAGTTGTGGTATTATTACAAACATGTAAAATTTGAAAATGAAAATTAACCTGGTACTCCCATATGTGAGGCAGTCTCCCACAGAATTTTTATTTTGGAATAATTTTGTATAAACAGAAAAGTTGGAAAGATAGTGTGGAAAGTTCCTGTATACCCCTCATCTAATTTCTTCTGTGATTACTAGATTACATACCCTGATGCATTTGTCAAAACTAAGAAACCAACATTGAAATATTACTATTGACTTGGCCATGCGTGGTGGCTCATGCCTGTAATCCCAGCACTTTGGGAGGCCGAGGCTGGCAGATCACCTGATGTCAGGAGTTTGAGACCAGCCTGGCCGACATGGCGAAACCCCATCTCTACTAAAAAAAAAATACAAAAAATTAGCCAGGCGTGGTGGCACACGCCTGTAGCCGCAGCTACTCAGGAGGCTGAGGCACAAGAATTGCTTGAACCCAGGCAGTGGAGGTTGCAATGAGCTGAGATCACACCACTGCACTGTAGCCTGGGTGACAGAGTGAGACTCTGTCTCAATAAAAAAAAAAAAAAAAAAAAAGAAAAGTCTTACTATTGACTAAATTTCAGACTTTCTTTGGCTTTCACCAGTTTTTTCTCTCTAACATCTCTTTTCTATTCCAGGATCCAATCCAGGATATAGTACATCTAATCAGGGGTCTGTGATCGTTTCTCACTTTCTTTATTTTTTATGACCTTGTTTCTTTCAAAGACTACTGGTCAGGTGTTTTGTAGGATGCCCTTTAGATTTTTAGAAAACTGTTCTCTATAAATGGTGCAGTTCTGTAAGGGAATTCATTGTATACACACACTTCCACCTATACATAAAAACCCATAATCTTCAGTATATTGATAATAACTCTTTCTTTTCTTCTTCATAAAGAAAAACCTCCAAAAGTAACATTAAAAATGGTGACTCTAAATCCAAGCCTTTTGCTACAGTGGTTTCCGGAAAGGCAGAATCAAATCATGAAGTAATCCACCCCCAACCACACTCTTCTGAGGGCTCCCAGACATATATAATGGTATGTTTCTTTTTAAAGGGTATGTGTTTTAGAAACTGCACTTAGAAAAATGGGCCATTTAAGCAAATTATTTTATGTGAAATGATTATGCTTTACTAGAGATTCTGTTGTACAATTAATTCCTTATTGTAAAGAAAGAGTACTGGTTAAGTGATTGATTTAGCTTTATCCAAATTGGGCTGTCAAAATGTTCGTGAAATCAGTGCTGTAATAACTTTTAAGAATTTTTTAGGTGAAATTTATGTAACGAAATTAACCATTTTAAAGTAAACAATTAAGGTGGGTGCGGTGGCTCATGCCTGCAATTCTAGCACTCTGGGAGGCCGAGGCTGGCAGATCACCTGAGGTCAGGAGTTCAAGACCAGCCTGGCCAACATGGAGAAATCCCGTCTCTACTAAAAATACAAAAATTAGCCAACTGTGGTGGCGTGTGCCTGTAGTCCTAGCTACTCAGGAGGCTGAGGGAGGAGAATAGCTTGAACCTGGGAGGCGGAGGTTGCAGTGAGCCAAGATTGTACCACTGTACTCCAACCTGGGTGACAGAATGAGACACTGTTTCAAAAATAAAAATAAATAGTTAAATAAAGTGATCAATTAAGTGTGGCCAGTACATTCACAGTGTAGTGCAACCATCACTTCTATGTAGTTCCAAAACATTTTTATCACCCCAAAGGAAATCTCTTCCTCATTAAGCAGTCACTCCCCATTTTGTCCTTCACCTAGCCTCTGGCAACCACCAATGTGTTTCCTGTCTCTATGAAGTCACCTTTCCTGGATATTTCATGTAAATAGGATCATTAAATATATGACCTTTTGTTTCTGGTGTCTTCCACATAGCATATTTTCAAGGTTGATCCATGTAGCATGTATAAATACTTCATTTCTTTTTAGGTCTGGCTACCATTGTATGGATATACCACAGTTTGTTTATCCATTCATCCATTAGTAGACATTTGAGTTTTTTTCACCTTTTGGCTATTGCTATGAATATATGTGTACATGTAGTTGAGTACCTGTTTTCCGTTCTTTTGTGTCCATACCTAGCAGTGGAATTACTGAATCAAATGGTAATTTTTGATTTGACTTTTTTTTGGTTTGACTTTTTGAGGAACTGTTGCACTGTTTTCTACAGTGGCTGTACCGTTTGACATTCCCATCAGCAGTGCACAAGGGTTTCAGTTTCTCTACATCTTTGCCAACACTTGTTATTTTCTGATTTTTTGATTCTAGCCATCCTAGTGGGTATAAAGTGGTATCCTATTGTATTTTTGATTTGTATTTCCCTAATGATTAATGACATACAGCATCTTTTCACATGCTTGTTGGCCATTTGTATGTCTTCTTTGGAGAAATATCTGCTAAAGCTTTTGCCTTTTTTTTTTATACAGGGTCTCACTCTGTTGCCTAGGCTGGAGTACAGTGGTGTGATCATGGCTCACTCTAGCTTCTACCTCTTGGGATCAAGTGATCCTCCCACCTCAGCCTCCTGAGTAGCTGGGACCACAGCATGCCGCTATGCCTGGCTAATTTTTTTATTTGTAGAGACAACGTCTTTCTATATTGCCTGGGCTGGTCTCAAACTCCTGGGCTCAGGCGATCCTCCTACCTTGGCTTTCCAAACAAAGTGCTGGGATTATAGGCATGAGCCACTGTGCCCAGGCTTTTTTTTTCTTTTTTTAAGAGAGGATCTTGCTCTGTCACCCAGGCTGGAGTACAGTGGCATCATCATAGCTCACCACAGCCTCTGAACTTGACTCAAGGGATCCTCCTACCTCAGCCTTCCGATTAACTGGGTCTACAGGTGCACGCCACCATACCTGGCTAACTGTTACGATTATTTTTGTAGAGGTGGGTCTCACTATGTTGCTCAGGCTGGTCTCAAACTCCTGGGCCCAAGCAGTTCAGTTCTTCTGCCTTTTCCTCCCAAAGTGCTGATATTACAGGTATGAGCCACATCACCCAGCCCCTGCCCAATTTTAAATTGTATTTTTGTCTTTTTGTTGTTGAGTCATAAGAGTTCTCTATCTGTGTTCCAGATACTAGTCCCTTGTCAGACAGACAACTTGCAATATTTTCTCCATTGTATAGGTTGTCTTTTCTTTCCCTTTTTAATTAACTTTTCTTTTTTGTTTTTAAAAATTTCTTTTGTTTTTTTCACTTTCTTGATAATGTCCTTTTCACAAAAGCTTCTAATTTTGATGAAGTCCAGTTTATCTATTTTTTTATTTTGTTGTCATAGCTAAGAATCCCTTGTCAAATCCAACATCTTGAAGGTTTATGCCATAGTTTCTTGTAACAATTTTAGAGTTTTAGCTCTTATATTTAGGTTGTCGATCCAATTTTAATTTTTTCATTATGATAAAATACACATAATGTAAAATTTACTATCTTAATCGTCTGTAAATGTACAATTCAGTGGTGTTAAATACATCTATAATGTTATGCAGCCATCATCACTCATCTTCATGACTCTCATATTGTAAAACTGAACTCTGTTCTCTTTAAACAGTATCTCCCCATTCCCTACTACCCCAGTCCCTGGCAATCACTGTTCTACCATTCTTCTTCTTCTTCTTTTTTTTTTTTTTTTTTGAAATGGAGTCTTGCTGTGTCGCCCAGGCTAGAGTGCAGTGGCATGATCTCAGCTCACTGCAACCTCCACCTCCCTGGTTCAAGCAATTCCCCTGCCTCAGCCTCCCGAATAGCTGGGATTACAGGTGCATGCCACGACATCTAGCTAATTTTTTTGTGTTATTAGTAGAGACAGGGTTTCAACATGTTGGCCAGACTGGTCTCGAACTCCTGACCTCAGGCAATCCACCTGCCTCGGCCTCCCAAAGTGCTGAGATTACAGGTGTGAGCCACTGTGCCTGGCCCACCATTCTACTTTCTATCTCCATGGTTTTGACTAGTGTAAGTACCTTGGATAAGGGGATCATGCAGTATTTGTCTTTCATGACTGCCTTGTTTCGTTTCACATAATATCCTCAAGGTTCATCCATGTTGTGACATATGTCAGAATTTCCTTCCTTTTTAATGCTGAATAATATTATGTTGTATGTGTCCCACATTTTGTTTATCTGGTTCATCTGCAGATGTACATTTGTGTTGTTTCCACCTTTTTGCTATTGTGAATAATGCTGCTATGAATATGGGTGTACACGTATCTCTTTGAGACCCTGATTTCTTTTTTCTTTTTTTCTGAGACAGAGTCTCACTGTTACCCAGGTTGGAGTGCAATGGCACAATCTTGGCTCACTGTAACTTCCACCTCCTGGGTTCAAGCGATTCTCCTGCCTCGGCCTCCCAAGTAGCTGGGATTACGGGCATGTGCCACCATGCCTAGCTAATTTTTGTATTTTTAGTAGAGATGGGATTTCACCATGTTGGCCAGGCTGGTCTCAAACTCCTGACCTCAAGTGATCCACCCACCTTAGCCTCCCAAAGTTCTGGAATTACAGATATGAGCCACTGCTCCCAGCCAAGACCCTGATTTCTGTTTTTTTGGGTATATAACCAGAAGTGGAACTGCTGACCACATGGTAATTCTATTTTTAACTTTTTGAGGACCTGTAGTACTGTTTTCCACAACTTCTGTATCATTTTACATTCCTATCAGCAGTACACAAAGGTTCCAGTTTCTCTACATTCTCACCAGTACTTGTTATTTCCTGGGATTTGTTAGTAATAGCCATCCTAATGGGCATGAGATGGTATCTCATTGTAGTTTTGATTTGCATTTCCCTAGTGATTAGTTATATTGAGCATTTTTTGTGTGCTTCTTGGCCATTTGCATATCTTTTTGGGAGGAATGTCTATTCAAGTCCTTTGCCCATTTTTGAGTTGGGTCGTTCATTTTTTGCTGTTGAATTTTAGGAGTTCTCCATATATTCAAGATGTCAATCCCTTATCACATACATGTTTTGCAAATATTTTCTCTCATTTTGTGGGTTACCTTTTTACTCTGTTGATAGTATTTTTTGATGCACAAAATTTTTAATTTTTGTGAAATCCAATATGTCTTTTTCTTGTGTTGCCTGTGCCTTTGGTGTCCTATCCAGAAAATCATTGCCAAATCCAATGTTGTGAAGCCTTTGCCTTATGTCTTCTTCTGAGAGTTTTATAGTTTTAGGTCTTACATTTAGGTTTTTTGTTCATTTTGAGTTAATTTTTTATATGGTATTAGGTAAAGGTCTGACTTCATTCTTCTGTATATGGGTATTTAGCTTTTTCAGCACTATTTGTTGAAAAAACTGTCCTTTCCTCATTAAATGATCATGGCACCTTTGTCAAAAATCATTAGCCCACACATGTGAAGGTTTATTTCTGGGTTCCCCATTCTGTTCCATTGGTTTCTATGTATAATGTCCGTTTTTATACGAATACTACACTGTTTTGATAATGTAGTTTTGTGGTATGTTTTAAAATCGTGAGGCATGAGTCCTCCATCTCTATTCTTCTTTTTCAAGATTGTTTTGGCTATTTGGGAGCGCTTGAGATTCCATTGAATTTTAGGATGGATTTTTCTGTTTTTCCAAAGAATGTCATTGGGATTTTGATAAGGATTAGATTGAATCTATAGATTGCTCTGGGTAGTATTAATATATTAACAATATTAAGCTCTTCTCAAGGAGATGCCCAATTGTAAAAAGAGAAAAAAAGAACGAACAATGTTAACAGTCTTCCAATCCATGAGCATGGGATGTGTTTCCATTTATTTATGTCTTCTTTACATATCTTTCAACACCATTTTGTAGATTTCACTATGTGAGTCTTCTTTCACCTTTTGGTTAATTCCTAATTATTTTATTATTTTTGATACTGTTGTAAATTGAATTGTTTTTGTAATTTGCTTCTCAGACTGTCTATGGTTAGTATATAGAAATGCAACTGTTTTTTGTATGTTGACTTTGCCTCTTGCTACCTTGCTCAGTTCATTTATTAGTTCTAACAGTTTCTGCGTGTGGAATCTTTAGGGTTTCCTATACACAAGATCATATCATCTGCAAAAGGAGATAATTTTACTTCTTCTTTTCTAATTTTGATGCCTTATTTTTTTTTCCTTGCCTAATTGCTCTGACTAGAACTTCTAGTACTATATTAACTAGAAGAGGTGAAAACAGGTATTCTTGCCTTGTTCCTGATCTTAGAGGAAAAGCTTTCAGTCTTTTACCATTAAATGTGATGTTTACTGTGGGTGTTTCATATGTGACTTTTATTATGTTATGAATTTTTTTTTCTATTCCTAGTTTGTTGAATTTTTTTTTTTAATCATGAAAAGGTGTTTTTTTTTTCACAGCCCTGAAAATCATCACATAAGGGTGTTGATCATGTGTTTTTTTTCCTTCATTTTGTTAATGTGGTCTAATACTACATATGAAGCATTTAATTCATTGTCCTTAATTACATTCACAGTATCATGCAACCATCATCACTATCTTCCAAAACGTTTCCATCATTTCAAACAGAAACTTTGTACCCATTGAGCAATAATTTTCTATTCCCTCTATCCTCAGGCCCTGGTAAGCTCTCATCTACTTTTTGTCTTTTTGGATTTGCCTGTTCTAGATATATTATATAAGTGGAATCATACAATATTTGTCTTTCTGTTTCTGGCTTCTTTCTTTCTTTCTTTTTCATTGTTAACATGGTTTTGTTTTTTGGGCTGTCCATTGCCATTGGTCAGCTTGAACTAGTCCAGAGTCCAGCAGGAAAGTGCATGGTGTACCAGATTCACCATCTCTTAAGTTGCTACTGTTTTCTCTTCTTTACTGAAAGATTGTACTGAGCCAGTCTTTACCTATGACAGGCCGGCGACACGAACACTTATTGTGCTGTTCTTCAGGCTTTTCTGAGTCAGCATCTTTTCTTTGGCTTCATCATGTACAGAAGGATTCCATGGAGAAAAGCTAATTGCATGAGTCTTCTATTTTAGATTGGTCAGACAAATGAGTAATGCACACCTTAACACTGTCAACCACTTTACTCTTAAAAAGCTGAACATCTTTCTCGTACAGTATTGCAGCCTCTGGGTTTAGGGGGCTTTTTTATCAGTCTTGTAGAAAACTCTCCCTGCATATTGTTAGTACTTGCCAAATTTGATTATGATTCCACCTCCATTTTCCAAATGCTCTCTTCACATCCAGTTCATCTGAGGTGGCATCACCTAGTAGGTGAAAGATGGGAATACCGAATATCAAGCATGGATAGTCACCATCTGGATAGTAATCAGGGATAGATGTAAACTGCAAACTTAAATACACCATCTTTTTTTTTTTTTTTTTTGAGACAGAGTCACTCTGTTGCCCAGGCTAGAGTGTGGTGGTGCGATCTTGGCTTATGGCAAACTGCCTCCTGGGTTCAAGTGATCTCCTGCCTCAGCCTCCTGAGTAGCTGGGATTACAGGCATGTGGCACCACACCAGCAAATTCTTATATTTTTGGTTAGAGACGGGTTTCACCATGTTGGCCAGGCTGGTCTCGAACTCCTAACCTCAAGTGCTCCATCCACCTCAGACTCTCAAAGTGCTGGGATTATAGGTGTGAGCCACCACGCCTGCCTAAATATGCCATCTTGATAAAGTCTATGCTCTATGATTATTAGTCCAAACCACTTTAATACAGAGGGATAAGATGGCTGCACATAGACACCTAATAACATCTGCTCCACAACCAAGGTAAATTCTGCAAGAGGAGAGTATTTCAGGTGGACGAGTCTATAGGAAGCATGCATGCCATTTGTTGACTCTGCTGCTGGGGCAGAAGGTGTAGGCTTAGTTATGGGCAAAGCATTTTTGGGAATAGAAGGCAGCTGTTTCTTTGGCATAGTTCATGGAAGACTGATTTTCACATCCCCTGCCAATGTTTTCAGCTTCAGATCATTTCCATATAGAGCTTGTAGACATGCTCCCGAAAGAGTTCATAATGTGTACTCCAAACAAAGAAATTCAGTATTATGTCATCAGACTCTTCTGTCCTCAGCATTCAATTTACCAGCCTTCCGGGCATTGTGCCTCACCTCTGCACCTTCAATGTAGAGTTCCCAGCTGCCCATCACCTTTGCGGCCCAGCAGCATCTCTGGCCACAGTGCCAGTCCTGCCCCTGCTTGCTCCCTGCCCTGTCCTGGCTTATTTCTTTTCTTTTCTGAGACAGGACCTCACTGTGTCAACCAGGCTGGAGCGCAGTGGTGTGATCATGGCTCACTGCAGCCTTGACCTCCCGGCTCAAGCAGTCCTCCCACTCAGGCTTCCAAGTAGCTGGGACTACAGGCACTTGCCACCATGCCCAGCTAATTTTTTGGTATTTTTTTTTATAGAAATGGGGTTTCACCATGTTGCCTAGGCTAGTCTCAAACTCCTGAGCTCAAGTGATCCTCCTGCCTCTGCCTCCCAAAGTACTGAGATGATAGGCGTGAGCTACCACACCTGGCCTGGCTTATTTTACTTAGCATGTTTTCAAGGGTCATTCATGTTTTAGCATGTATCAGAACTTCATTCCTTTTTATGGATTAGAAATATTCCATTGTATGTATTTGCCTTTTTTGTTGTTGTTGAGACAGCGTTTCACTCCTGTTGCCCAGGCTGGAGTGCAATGGCGGGCTCTCGGCTCACTACAACCTCCACTTCCTAGGCTCAAGCAATCCTTCTGCATCAGCCTCCCAAGTAACTGGGACTACAGACATGCACCACCACACCTGGCTAATTTTTGTATTTTTAGTAGAGATGGGATTTCACCATGTTGCCCAGACTGGTCTCGAGCTCCTGGCCTCAAGTGATTTACCTGCTTCGGCATCCCAAACTTCTGGGATTACAGGCGTGAGCCACCGTGCCCGGCAGTATTTACCACATTTTGTTTATCCCTTCATCTGCTGATGGACTTTTGGGTTGTTTCCGCCTTTTGGCTATTTTGAATAAAGCTACTATAAACATTGGTGTACAAATATTTACTTGAGTCCCTGCTTTCAGTTCCTTAGATTACATACTTATGAGTGGAATTGCTGGGTCATATGGTAATTCCATGTTTAACTTTTTGAGGAACCTCTTGTTGCATTTTGAGTTGATTTGGTGTAAGATATGAGGAGTGCTATAATAATTTCCAAACATGTTTTCATTCAGGATGAAGGCAAATGTTTGTCCCAGGAGAAACCCAGGGCCTCTGGTCCCTTGAAGTCACCTGCCAGTCTGAAAGCCCATACCTGCAAACAGGACTTTAGCAATACCACAGAACTAGCCACAATCAGTAAGGTAAATATTGACATCTTACCTGCAAAAGGGAGGGTTTCAGTGAGTGATGACTTCGTTCAGGAGAATCAGCCAAGACACTTGGATGCCTCTAATGAGTTAGGAGGTATATGCAGTATTTCTCAAGTGAAAGAGGAGATGCTTCAGAACAACAGTAAATCCAGTGCCCAGCCTGAAAACCTGATTCCCACGTGGTCCTCTGACATTGTCGCTGGGGAAAAAAATGAACCAGTGAAGCCTCTGCAGCCCCTAATCAAAGAACAAAAGCCAAAGGACCAGGTGAGTGATATGCACACATGAGATATTGGTTTTGGAGAGAAGACTGAAAGTGCAGTTACAAATGTGTGGGTTCTCTTGTCATTTTAGGAAAATCAGTAATTCTATGTATCAGTTTAAACATAGAAGAATATTTGCATCAAACCAAAAAGAAACCCAGTACCCTGTAACAGTCACAGCAACCTGTGCCTCCTGGGTTCAAGTGATTCTCCAGCCTCAGCCTCCTGAATAGCTGGGATTACAAGCATGTGTCACCAGGTCCAGCTAATTTTTGTAGTTTTTCTAGCAGAGATGGGGTTTTACCATGTTGGTCAGGCTGGTCACAAACTTTGACCTCAAGTGATCAGCCTGCCTCGGCCTCCCAAAGTGCTGGGATTATGGGTGTGAGCCACCACGCCCAGCCTTAAGCATCTTTTTATATACTTTGGCCAGTATTTCTCCTTTGGAGAAATAAACTTTGAATTCTTTGCCAATTTTAAAATTGGTTTATCATTTTATTATTGAATTCTGAGAGTTCTTTATTCTAGATACCAGTTCCTTATTAGATACAGCATTTGAAAATATTGTCTCCCGGCCAGGAATGGTGGCTCACACCTGTAATCCCAGCACTGTGGGAGGCTGAGGCAGGAGATCAGGAGTTCAAGACCAGCCTGGCCAACACAGTGAAACCCTGTTTCTACTAAAAATACAAAAGTTAGCCGGGCGTGGTGGTGCATGCCTGTAATTCCAGCTACTCAGGAGGCTGAGGCAGGAGAATCGCTTGAACTTGAGAGGCAGAGGTTGCAGTGAGCTGAGATTGCCCCAGTGCACTCCAGCCTGGGCAACAGAGCAAGACTCCGTCTCAAAAAAACAAAAAAAAGAAAATATTGTCTCCCATCCTCTCCTCCCCTCCCCTCCCCTCTTCCTCTTCTGCAGGTCCTTGCTCTGTTGCTGAGGCTGGAGTGCAGTGATGTGATCTCAGCTCACTGCAGCCTCGGTGTCCTAGGCTCAAGTGATCCTCCAACCTTAGCCTCCCGAGTAGCTGGGACTACAGGCATACACCAGCATGCCTGGCTAATTTTTTCTATTTTTTGTAGAGACAGGGTCTCCCTATGTTGTCTAGGCTGGTCTCAAACTCCTGACTGGGCTCAAATCATCCTCACACCTTGGCCTACCAAAGTGCTGTGATTACGGGTGTGAGCCACTGCGCCTGGCTGAGCATCTACTATGCATCAGACATAGTCCTAAGTACTTTTAGTGTATTCTCTCAGCTAATCCTCAAATAGTAATACAATATGGCTGTGGGTATTAGATCCATTTTTAAATGATGAAACTGGGCTCAGGACAATTAAGTTTCTCACATAAGACTCCATCTAATGCCAAGCTCAATGGTCTTTTTATTGTACTTTTTAGGGTACATCCAAATAACTGATGTTTACTTGGGAAATAAATTTTTATTAAATTGAAATTCATTTAAAACATTTGTTCATTTTCAGAATGGAAAACTTATGAAAAGTTATGAGGAGATTTTTAAAAATAATTGAATCAAACCAGTAGTTTTAGATTAACCACAATTTAAGTGATTTAATTAAAACAATTATTTTTATTTGGAGGAAGAGAAAAAAATCAGAACATTTGGATAACTGATGTCGGCATTTTGTCTTTGCCTGTTAGCATTGCAAATAAACATTCATTTTGAGAAGACAACTCCTCATTATCTTTTTAATTTATTAAAAGATTTTGGCCAGGCGCAGTGGTTCACACCTGTAATCCCAGCACTTTGGGAGGCTGAGGCGGGCGGATCACAAGGGCAGAAGATTGAGACCATCCTGGCTAACATGGTGAAACCCCGTCTCTACTAAAAATACAAAAAAAAATTAGCTGGGCATGGTGGTGGGCGCCTGTAGTCCCAGGTACTCAGGAGACGGAGGCAGGAGAATGGTGTGAACCCAGGAGGCGGAGATTGCAGTGAGCCGAGATCGTGCCATTACACTCCAGCCTGGGCAACAGAGTGAGACACTGTCTCAAACATTACATAAATAAATAAATAAATAAATTTTTTTTTTTGAGACACTCTTGCTGTGTCACCCAGGCTAGAGTACAGTGGTATGATCACGGCTCATGGTAGCCTTGACCTCCTGGACTCATGCAATCCTCTCACCTCAGCCTCCTGGGTAGCTGTGACTACCTGGCATATCACCACATCTGACTTTTTTTTTTTTTTTTAATGGAGATGGAGGTCTCTCTGTGTTGCTCAGGCTGGTCTTGAACTCCTGGCCTCAAGTGGTCTTCCTGACTTGGCTTCCCAGAGTGTCGGGATTACAGGTGTGAGCTACCACACTCAGCTTCTTCTCATTTTCATTGTGTTTAAAAGTAGGCATGGGCCAGGCGCGGTGGCTCAAGCCTGTAATCCCAGCGCTTTGGGAGGCTGAGATGGGCGGATCACAAGGTCAGGAGATCGAGACCATCCTGGCTAACCCGGTGATACCCCGTCTCTACTAAAAAATACAAAAAAAAAACTAATCGGGCGAGGTGGCGGGCGCCTGTAGTCCCAGCTACTCGGGAGGCTAAGGCAGGAGAATGCCGTGAACCCGGGAGGCGGAGCCTGCAGTGAGCCGAGATTGCGCCACTGCACTCCAGCCTGGGCGACAGAGTGAGACTCCGTCTCAAAAAAAAAAAAAAAAGTAGGCATGAAGAGTTTGACCATTTGGATGTTCAAAAGATTATTCATTATTTTGAGTTTTTGTGTGCGTTTGCTTCCTTTTATAATTATTATTTTTTAACTGTTGCATTATGATTTAATTTTATTGCACAAAAATTTGAAATCGTAACTGCTTTTGTTTTCTTTTTCTTTTCTTTTTTTTTTTTTTTGAGATGGAGTCTTATTCTGTCACCCAGGCTGAAGTGCAATGGCGCGATCTCGGCTCACTGCAACCTCTCCCCGCCAGGTTCAAGCAGTTCTCCTGCCTCAGCCTTCTGAGTAGCTGGGATTACAGGTGCCTACCACCATGCCCGGCTACTTTTTGTATTTTTAGTAGAGACGGGGTTTCACCATGTTGGCCAGGCTGATCTTGAACTCCTGACCTCGTGATCCGCCCGCCTCGGCCTCCCAAAGTGCTGGGATTACAGGGGTGAGCCACCATGCCTGGCCCACTTCTTTTGTTTTCTAAGAGGAAGGTTATGTATACCTCTGTATTCAATTCTGCATTGTTATATTTGGACCATATTGTGAACTTTACATTGTGATGGGTCAATTTACAACTTCCAGGTAACACTTTAAATTGCAATATGGAAACAGTTTTTTGAGGAACGTTTTCATGCTAAAGACAAAAACCACTTTTTATGGGCAGCTTACTTTAGTACCAGGTTGCTGCTATACTTTAAAATGTCATTTTATTATTTTTAAGGATCAAGTTACTGGTGAATGTACTATAGAAAAACAGGGCAGAATCCACCCAGATTTACAGCCACACAACTCTGGGTCTGAACCTTCTCTGTCTCGACAGCGACGGCAGAAGAAGAGAGAACAGACTGAGCACAGAGGGGAAAAGAGACAAGTTGGCAGAGATCTCTTTGCTGTAAGTCATTTTGCTTTGGTTTGGGAGGTGGACTTTGGGAAGCTCAGTTTCTATTTAGAGCAATTAACAATTGCCAGAAGGCACATAAGAAATGCAAGGAACATATACAGAAGGGTGACAATGGCAAGATGCTAAATACTAGTTTTCAAATATCAGTGAGTTGGAAGAGAGTAAGGATTTTATCTTCTCCAGCAAAGATGGACAGATCATTTTGAAAGTTAAAGGAATAGGCTAATGAGGGTAAACCTTTGACCCCATCTGTATTGTACTGATGAACAGTTCTTTCTTCAGCTTCTCCACAGAATCATGTTGACATCTCATTTCTTGAAATGACTTCAACAGGTATCCTCTCCATAAGCTTCTTAGATGATTGACTTTTGGCAGAGTCTTTTCAAAAAAAATGCAATGTTTTGAAGATTTTAAGAGCAAACCACTGACACATACATAGGGAACCTGCTGATAGGGGAACATTGGAAGGGGCTGTATATGAAACTGTTAATCTTCTTTTTTAATTATTTAAGTTCCAAGAGTCGCCTCCTCGAGTTTTGCCTTCTCATCCCATTGTTGGGAAAGTGGACATCACATCAATACAAAAAGAGGCTGAAAACCAGTGTAGAGTGGTCACTGGGTCTGTGAGCAGTTCAAGGAGCAGTGCGATGTCATCATCAAAGGTTTGTGGGAACATATGTTGGATTTTTAAAAACCTTATAGTCAGGTGTGGTGGCTCATGCATGTAATCCGAGTACTTTGGGAGGCTGAAGCAAGAGGATCAGTTGAGCCCAGGAGTTCAAGACTGGCCTGGGCAATATAGTGAGACCTTGTCTCTACAAAAAATTTAAAAATTAGTAAAATGTGGTGGCACATGCCTATAGTCCCAGCTACTATGAGGCCAAGGTGGGAGGATGGCTTGAACTCAAAAGGCAGAGGTTAAGGTGAGCCGAGATCATGCCACTGTACTTCAGCCTGGTACAGCACTGTACAGAGCGAGAAGCTGTCTCAAAGCAAAACCCTCCAAAACCTTCTTATTGGTTGTAAAATCTTGTGTATATTATGAAGTTTTGTATTAAAACATCTTAGCTCTGCTTCTTGCCAAACACTGGAAGGGACAGATGGGACAGATATGATCTCGGCAGAATCTTTTTTTTTTTGAGATGGAGTCTCACTCTGTTGCCCAGACTGGAGTGTAGTGGCATGATCTTGGCTCACTGCAACCTCCGCCTCCTGGGTTCAAGCAATTCTTCTGCCTCCGCCTCCCCAGTAGCTGGAACTACAGGTGCCAGCCACCACGCTTGTCTAATTTTTGTATTTTATTAGAGATGGGGTTTTGCCATGTTGGCCAGGCTTGTCTCAAACTCCTGACCTCAGATGATCCACCTGCCCCAGCCTCCCAAAGTGCTAGGATTACAGGTGTGAGCCACCGCACCCAGCCTCAGCAGAATCTTTGATTGAAATGGACAGATTCTGTGGTTTCAGAGATGGTCACTTCCAGTGAATTAAAGAAACCAAGTAGGCTGGGCAAGGTGGCTCACGCCTGTAATCCCAGCACTTTGGGAGGCCGAGACAGGCGGATCACGAGGTCAGGAGATGAAGACCATCCTGGCTAACACGATGAAACCCCGTCTCTACTAAAAAATATAAAAAATTAGCCAGGCGTGGTGGCGGGCGCCTGTAGTCCCAGCTGCTCGGGAGGCTGAGGCAGGAGAATGGCATGAACCCGGGAGGCAGAGCTTGCAGTGAGCTGAGATCGGGCCACACTGCATCCCAGCCTGGGCTACAGAGCAAGACTCCATCTCAAAAAAAACAAAAAAAAAACAAAAAAACCCCCCAGAAACCAAGTAGATTCTGAATATGGCAAATGTGAAAGTCCCCATTTGCCCTTCTAAAAATGAGCACCTCCCAGAAACGAGGGCTGTGATCATTTCTCGCTAGTAGCTATAACCCTGCTGTGGGCTGGTTTCCAGTGGACACTCCTGTAAGTCCAGTGCAAGACCTTTTTTTTTTTTGGTCTTGCTCTGTCACCCAGGCTGGAGTACAATGGCGCGATCTCAGCTCACTACAACCACCGCCTCCCAGATTCAAGCAATTCTCCTGCATCAGCCTCCCGAGTAGCTGGGATTATAGGCATGTGCCACCATGCTCGGCTAATTTTTGTATTTTTAGTAGAGATGGGGTTTCACCATGTTGGTCGGTCTGGCCTTGAACTCCTGACCCCATGATCTGCCCACCTCAGCCTCCCAGAGTGTTGAGATTACAAGTGTGAGCCACCGCATCCAGCTGAGACCTTTTTCTTAATGCTGGATGATACATCAGGGATTGTATAAGAATAGCAAGTAGGAATGGAAGTGACTCTGTGACTTCTTCTTGCCAAACACTGGAAGGGACAGATGGGACAGATATGATCTCGGCAGAATCTTTTTTTTTTTGAGATGGAGTCTCACTCTGTTGCCCAGACTGGAGTGTAGTGGCATGATCTTGGCTCACTGCAACCTCCGCCTCCTGGGTTCAAGCAATTCTTCTGCCTCCGCCTCCCTGGGATTATAGGCATGTGCCACCATGCTCGGCTAATTTTTGTATTTTTAGTAGAGATGGGGTTTCACCATGTTGGTCAGGCTGGTCTCAACTTCTGACCTAAAGTGATCCGCCCGCCTCGGCCTCCCAAAGTGCTGGGATTACAGGGGTGAGCCACCATGCCTGGCCCACTTCTTTTGTTTTCTAAGAGGAAGGTTATGTATACCTCTGTATTCAATTCTGCATTGTTATATTTGGACCATATTGTGAACTTTACATTGTGATGGGTCAATTTACAACTTCCAGGTAACACTTTAAATTGCAATATGGAAACAGTTTTTTGAGGAACGTTTTCATGCTAAAGACAAAAACCACTTTTTATGGGCAGCTTACTTTAGTACCAGGTTGCTGCTATACTTTAAAATGTCATTTTATTATTTTTAAGGATCAAGTTACTGGTGAATGTACTATAGAAAAACAGGGCAGAATCCACCCAGATTTACAGCCACACAACTCTGGGTCTGAACCTTCTCTGTCTCGACAGCGACGGCAGAAGAAGAGAGAACAGACTGAGCACAGAGGGGAAAAGAGACAAGTTGGCAGAGATCTCTTTGCTGTAAGTCATTTTGCTTTGGTTTGGGAGGTGGACTTTGGGAAGCTCAGTTTCTATTTAGAGCAATTAACAATTGCCAGAAGGCACATAAGAAATGCAAGGAACATATACAGAAGGGTGACAATGGCAAGATGCTAAATACTAGTTTTCAAATATCAGTGAGTTGGAAGAGAGTAAGGATTTTATCTTCTCCAGCAAAGATGGACAGATCATTTTGAAAGTTAAAGGAATAGGCTAATGAGGGTAAACCTTTGACCCCATCTGTATTGTACTGATGAACAGTTCTTTCTTCAGCTTCTCCACAGAATCATGTTGACATCTCATTTCTTGAAATGACTTCAACAGGTATCCTCTCCATAAGCTTCTTAGATGATTGACTTTTGGCAGAGTCTTTTCAAAAAAAATGCAATGTTTTGAAGATTTTAAGAGCAAACCACTGACACATACATAGGGAACCTGCTGATAGGGGAACATTGGAAGGGGCTGTATATGAAACTGTTAATCTTCTTTTTTAATTATTTAAGTTCCAAGAGTCGCCTCCTCGAGTTTTGCCTTCTCATCCCATTGTTGGGAAAGTGGACATCACATCAATACAAAAAGAGGCTGAAAACCAGTGTAGAGTGGTCAGTGGGTCTGTGAGCAGTTCAAGGAGCAGTGCGATGTCATCATCAAAGGTTTGTGGGAACATATGTTGGATTTTTAAAAACCTTATAGTCAGGTGTGGTGGCTCATGCATGTAATCCGAGTACTTTGGGAGGCTGAAGCAAGAGGATCAGTTGAGCCCAGGAGTTCAAGACTGGCCTGGGCAATATAGTGAGACCTTGTCTCTACAAAAAATTTAAAAATTAGTAAAATGTGGTGGCACATGCCTATAGTCCCAGCTACTATGAGGCCAAGGTGGGAGGATGGCTTGAACTCAAAAGGCAGAGGTTAAGGTGAGCCGAGATCATGCCACTGTACTTCAGCCTGGTACAGCACTGTACAGAGCGAGAAGCTGTCTCAAAGCAAAACCCTCCAAAACCTTCTTATTGGTTGTAAAATCTTGTGTATATTATGAAGTTTTGTATTAAAACATCTTAGCTCTGCTTCTTGCCAAACACTGGAAGGGACAGATGGGACAGATATGATCTCGGCAGAATCTTTTTTTTTTTGAGATGGAGTCTCACTCTGTTGCCCAGACTGGAGTGTAGTGGCATGATCTTGGCTCACTGCAACCTCCGCCTCCTGGGTTCAAGCAATTCTTCTGCCTCCGCCTCCCCAGTAGCTGGAACTACAGGTGCCAGCCACCACGCTTGTCTAATTTTTGTATTTTATTAGAGATGGGGTTTTGCCATGTTGGCCAGGCTTGTCTCAAACTCCTGACCTCAGATGATCCACCTGCCCCAGCCTCCCAAAGTGCTAGGATTACAGGTGTGAGCCACCGCACCCAGCCTCAGCAGAATCTTTGATTGAAATGGACAGATTCTGTGGTTTCAGAGATGGTCACTTCCAGTGAATTAAAGAAACCAAGTAGGCTGGGCAAGGTGGCTCACGCCTGTAATCCCAGCACTTTGGGAGGCCGAGACAGGCGGATCACGAGGTCAGGAGATGAAGACCATCCTGGCTAACACGATGAAACCCCGTCTCTACTAAAAAATATAAAAAATTAGCCAGGCGTGGTGGCGGGCGCCTGTAGTCCCAGCTGCTCGGGAGGCTGAGGCAGGAGAATGGCATGAACCCGGGAGGCAGAGCTTGCAGTGAGCTGAGATCGGGCCACACTGCATCCCAGCCTGGGCTACAGAGCAAGACTCCATCTCAAAAAAAACAAAAAAAAAACAAAAAAACCCCCCAGAAACCAAGTAGATTCTGAATATGGCAAATGTGAAAGTCCCCATTTGCCCTTCTAAAAATGAGCACCTCCCAGAAACGAGGGCTGTGATCATTTCTCGCTAGTAGCTATAACCCTGCTGTGGGCTGGTTTCCAGTGGACACTCCTGTAAGTCCAGTGCAAGACCTTTTTTTTTTTTGGTCTTGCTCTGTCACCCAGGCTGGAGTACAATGGCGCGATCTCAGCTCACTACAACCACCGCCTCCCAGATTCAAGCAATTCTCCTGCATCAGCCTCCCGAGTAGCTGGGATTATAGGCATGTGCCACCATGCTCGGCTAATTTTTGTATTTTTAGTAGAGATGGGGTTTCACCATGTTGGTCGGTCTGGCCTTGAACTCCTGACCCCATGATCTGCCCACCTCAGCCTCCCAGAGTGTTGAGATTACAAGTGTGAGCCACCGCATCCAGCTGAGACCTTTTTCTTAATGCTGGATGATACATCAGGGATTGTATAAGAATAGCAAGTAGGAATGGAAGTGACTCTGTGACTTTCTTTTAAAGGATCGACCATTATCAGCCAGAGAGAGGAGGCGACTAAAGCAGTCACAGGAAGAAATATCCTCTTCAGGTAAAGTTGACTTCTTTTCTTCATCTAATTGGCAGTTAGAGGTATAGTCCGTGGACAGAAGCACTGGTTCTGACTATGAGAAGTTGAAACTTTCCAGCAGCAGTAAAATATGTAGGAAATTGATTTGGAAAAGATTTTGAAATTTCTTAGTCAAGCCTTTTAAGAAATCATCATAGGGTGTTGAATCTGGTTCAAATATCAGCGGAAGGGGATGTTAAAGAAATAACAAGAGGGCTTTGAGTGGCAGTAACTCTTGGGAGGTTTCAGACCAGAAATCAAGTGAATGTTTAACTTTTTTCCATGTCCAGTGTCCACTAGTCAGTGAATTGCTCTCATCTTAGGAACAGAGGGAGGTTGCTGGGGGAGTGGTGCTGCCCTAGGCTGAGGGCTATCATTCTTTTTATTATTTTTTAAAGATAGTACTAGCAGTTTCCATTTACTGAATGCTGACCATGTCTTAGGCATTATGGTAAACATATTAAGGGTATTATTTCATATTTACAGTAATTGCCAAAATATGCATTATTATCACCATTTTGCAGCTGAGGAAACAGAGGCTCTGAGGAGTTAAGTAACTTGCCCAAGGTCCCAGAACTGGTGGACCCAGAGCTAAGATTTCAACTGAAGTGTCAGACACCAGAGTAATGATAAATATGCTGTTTGAGTTACTTTTGGGCCAGCTCTTGCTGGGGTACGTTCCATACCAAATACAAAGCCTTCTTCAATTGGGGCAGCCCACCACAAACAACTACTGGGTATGTTTGCTTTTTCAGGCCCTTCAGTGAGGAAAGCTTCTCTGAGTGTAGCAGGGCAAGGAAAACCCCAGGAGGAAGACCAGCCCACGCCCGCCCGACGGCTCTCCTCTGACTGCAGTGTCACTCAGGTGCATTACGTACTCCTAAGAGAGAAGGTGGACAGTCTACTTCTGGCAGGCCTAATGCAGTAAACCTTTTAAATGTCAGCTCCATTTATTTTTGGGACAGGGCCAGCTTATTACATCTTTTCACTCTTGATAAAGAAAGGAACTGGTAAATAATAGTCAAAAGGATTATGTTTGACCCATTAAGGAAATAAATTTTTCAGGTACTCTTATAAACAATTGATAGCCTAATTGAAGATATTTCTTAGGTTGGTCTTTAAAACAGGACTTCCTGGCCTGATGCAGTGGCTCATGCTTATAATACTAGCACTTTGGGAGGCCAAGGTGAGAAGATTGCTTTAGCCCAGGAGTTTGAGATCAATCTGGGCAACATAGCTGGACCCTGTCTCTAAGAAAAAAAAAAATTACCTGGCAAGGTGGCGCACACTTGTAGTCCCAGCAACTCAGGGGGCTGAGGTGGAAGGATCACTTGAGCCCAGGAGGTCAAGGCTACAGTGAGTTGTGTTCATACCACTGTGCTTTAGCCTGGGTGACAGAGCAAGACCCTGTCTCAAAAATATAAATAAATAAGTAAACAGAACTTTCTAAGGACTTGCACTAGGCAACACTTTGCTCAGTCTGCTGTGATACCAACATACCCATCTGTGTTGCCAGATTCGAGTCTCACTTGCTAATCATTCCTCAGTTTCTTATTTGTGTCAATGTAGTTTACCTTCTTGCCTGTAGATGATGTAGGGACACCATCTTTTGGCTAAATGGGTAATTGCTAGGTTTCTAACCCATGCTCACCTCTCTGTATAATACTCTGGGAATTTTTCCTGCTCTTTGAAAGTAATGGATGTATTATTTCTTTAACTGTATCATTTAGTTATTTCACTAATAGAGGCTGCCTTCCATATCCCAGAGTTGTAAGGTCTATGTGTATTATTAGGTAATCCTTTAAAGCACTTTAACAGTCTCACATTAAGAGCAAGCTGAAGCTGGGCATGGTGGCTTGTGGCTGTTATCCCAGCTACTTGGAAGGCCAAGGAAGGAGGATTGCTTGAGCCCAGGAGTTTGTGGCCAGCCTGGGCAACATAGTGACACCCCTGTATCAAAAAACAAAAACAAAAACAAAAAAACAGGCAAGCTGAGGTTGCTTAGGTAATTTAAAATGCCAACATTCCTATAGAGCAAGCTCTCTGCTTAGGAGTTGATACGCCGGAACTAGCCATCCACTCTCCTCTGGAAATTTCTTCACAGCTGAGACTCTTGTAAAACTTCACCTTGGCCAGGCGCAGTGGCTCATGCCTGTAATCTCAGCACTTTGGGAGGCCGAGGTGGGCAGATCATGAGGTCAGGAGTTCAAGACACCCTGGCCAAAATGGTGAAACCCTGTCTCTACTAAAAATACAAAAATTAGCTGGGCATTGTGGCACGTGCCTGTAATCTCAGCTACTTGGGAGACTGAGGCAGGAACATTGCTTGAACCAGAGAGTCAGAAGTTGCTATGAGCCAAGATCGTGCCACTGCACTCCAGCCTGGCGACAGAGCAAGACTCTGTCTCAAAAAAAAAAAAACCAAAAAAAAAAACAAATAAAAACAAAAACAAACAAAACTTCACCTGATGTTCTTCAGTTATTCTTGTGAACTTTATAAGTGAACTGGGATATCATATGGGTAAAATCAGTTTTTGTGCTTTTTTTTGCCACAAATCATATGGGAACAATTTTTGTATTTGTTAGATTCTCCTGCTGTATTGCACCTAGGAACATATTGTGTCTAGTTGTTGCATCTAAGACTGGTTCAAGTATCACATTCTGGTTGTGTTGTCATGTAGAATTTTATGTCTTCCAAACATTTAATAGGAAAGGAAACTGATTCATTGTCTGTCTGAGGATGAGTTAAGTTCTTCTACAAGTTCAACTGATAAGTCAGATGGGGATTGCAGGGAAGGGTAAGTTCTTGTTTTTCTGTCTCCCTTTATAAACTATTTCTTTTTTAATGAATATTAAATGTACATTTTCAGTAGTATTCAGATATCTAGTATTCCCACTGATAAAATTATAAATGGTTTGTGGCATATGCTGGAGCTAAAAAGTCTCTTTTTTTTTTTTTGAGACGGAGTCTCGCTCTGTGGCCCAGGCTGGAGTGCAGTGGCCGGATCTCAGCTCACTGCAAGCTCCGCCTCCTGGGTTTACGTCATTCTCCTGCCTCAGCCTCCCGAGTAGCTGGGACTACAGGTGCCCGCCACCTCGCCCGGCTAGTTTTTTGTATTTTTTTTAGTAGAGACGGGGTTTCACCGTGTTAGCCAGGATGGTCTCGATCTCCTGACCTCGTGATCCGCCCGTCTCGGCCTCCCAAAGTGCTGGGATTACAGGCTTGAGCCACCGCGCCCGGCCTCTTTTTTTTTTTTTGAGACGGAGTTTCGCTCTTGTTGCCCAGGCTGGAGTGCAGTGGCATGATCTCAGCTCACTGCAACCTCTGCCTCCTGGGTTCAAGCGATTCTTCTGCCTCAGCCTCCCTAGTAGCTGGGATTACAGGCATGTGCCACCACGTCTGGCTAATTTTGTATTTTTAGTAGAAACAGGGTTTCTCCATGTTGGTCAGGCTGGTCTCAACTTCTGACCTAAGGTGATCCGCCCGCCTTGGCCTCCCAAAGTGCTGAGATTACAGGTGTGAACTAATCTGGCCAAAAATGTGTCTTCTATGCACATGTCTGATTTTCTTTTCTTTTTTTTTTTTTTTTGATGGAGTCTTGCTCTGTCACCCAGGCTGGAGTGCAGTGGCGCGATCTCGGCTCGCTGTAACCTCTGCCTCCCAGGTTCCAGCAATTCTCCTGCCTCAGCCTCCCGAGTAGCTGGGACTACGGGCGCGTACCACCACACCCTGCTAATATTTTGTATTTTTAGTAGAGATGGGGTTTCACCATATTAGCCAGGATGGTCTCGATTTCCTGACCTTGTGATCCACCCGCCTCGGCCTCCCAAAGTGCTGGGATTACAGGCGTGAGCCACCACGCCTGGCCTGGCCGTTATTTCTTCACATTTTTTTTTTTTTTGACTTCTTTCTGCCCTCTTAGGGATTCTAATTACATGTATATTAGACTCCTTAAATTTGTGCCACAGCTCACTGATGCTCTGTTTATTTTTATGTTTTTAAAAAATATTTTATTTTTTATTTATTTTTTTTTTTTGAGACAGAGTCTTACTCTGTCGTCCAGACTGGAGTGCAGTGGCATGATTTCGGTTCACTACAACCTCTGCCTCCCAGGTTCAAGCGATTCTCCTGTATCAGCCCCCCGGCCCCCCCGGCCCCGAGTAGCTGGGATTACAGGCACGCGCCACAACACCCGGCTACATTTTTGTATTTTTAGTAGAAACCGGGTTTCACCATATTGGCCAGGCTGGTCTTGAACTCCTGACCTCAGGTGATCCGCCTGCCTAGGCCTCCCAGAATGCTGGTATTACAGGCATGAGCCGCTGCACCTGGCTTATTTTTACTTTTTTTCTGTTTCACATTTCATAGATTCTATTGCTATGTCTTTGAGTTAATTAATCTTTTCTTCTGCAATGTCTAATCTGTTAATCCTATCCCGTGTATTTAATATATTGTATCTTTCATTTCTAGAAATTTGATTTGGGTCTTTTTAAAATATCTTAGTGTCTCCTTAACATGTTCATGTTTTCTTCTACCTTGGCCATATGGAATATATTTATACTACCCATTTTAATGTCCTCATTTATTCTATCGGTTGTGTCATATTTGGGTATGTTTCTATTAACTGATTTCTTTCTCTTCACAAATGCATGATATTTTCCTGCTTCTTTGCATATCTGGTTATTTTTGATGGGAGGCTAGATACTGAATTTTACCTCATTGGAAGCTGGTATTTTGTGTTTAACTGTTCTTGAGCTTTGTACTTGAGTGTGGTTAAGTTACTTTGAAACAGGCAGAATTTATACACAGAATCTGGGGCTGTTTCTTTTAGACTGTCTCCAAGGTTCCTCTGTCACTTTCTAGTGACAGTGGTTGTTCTGAACTCTCCTTTCTGTAGGCCAGAAAGATTGTGAGTTCTCTTGTACTTTGATCTGCCCATGCCCTGCCCTCAGGCTAAAAGGTGTTGACTCTTCTCCCAGATCTGCCTGCAGATTTTGTTTATTCTGCATTGCCTTTACATTGTTGAGTTTTGTATTTTGTCTAGAGTTTGTAGTTGTTATTTGCGGAAGTGTCAGGTCAGTCTGTAGGAGCTTACTTGGACATTTCAAAGCAGAACTCCCTAAAGGTTTTGCGTGTGATTTTTTAACGAAAAATTCTCATGAAGTCAATTAAATAACAGAGGGATACTTTTTTCCCCCAGGAAAGGTCAGACAAATGAAATTAATGCCTTGGTACAATTGATGACTCAGACTCTGAAACTGGATTCTAAAGAGAGCTGTGAAGATGTCCCGGTAGCAAACCCAGTGTCAGAATTCAAACTTCATCGGAAATATCGGGACACACTGATACTTCATGGGAAGGTTGCAGAAGAGGCAGAGGAAATCCATTTTAAAGAGCTGCCTTCAGGTGATCAGCTTATTATTATTTTTTATTTTTTAGATGGAGTCTCACTCTGTCACCCAGGCTGGAGTACAGTAGCGTGATCTTGGCTCACTGCAACCTCCGCTTCCTGGGTTCAAGAGATTCTCCTGCTTCAGCCTCCTGAGTAGTTGGGACTACAGGCATGCACCACCATACCCGGCTAATTTTTGTATTTTTGGTAGAAACAGGGTTTCACCATGTTGGCCAG